GAGCATGAGTGGGGGAGAAGGGCAGAGGGAGAGAGAGAAAATACCTTTTCTTTAAAAAAAATTTTTAATGTTTATTTTTGAGAGAGACAGACATAGAGACAGAGACAGAGCACAGTGGGGGAGGGTCAGAGAGAGAGGGAGACACAGAATCTAAAGCAGACTCCAGGCTCTGAGCTGTCAGCACAGAGCCCTATGCGGGGCTTGAACTCATGAGCTGTGAGATCATGACCTGAGCCGAAGTCCAAGGCTTAATTGACTGAGCCACCCAGGTGCCCCTAGATCTCACTTCTCTTATCTCAATGTAGAGCTTGCAGCCCAGATCCTACAAAACATTTCTAAGTATTGGGGAAAAGAGGAAAGGAGGGAATTTATATTTACTGAGTAGCTATTATTGGCCAGGCATTAAACTATTTCACCTATGTTCAATCATTTAATTGGGGATAATACAAAGTAGTAGTTAAGAGGTCTGGCTCTAAAAACTGAAATCAGAAAGAGAGAGAGAGAGAGAGAGGGAGAGAAAGAGAGAGAGAGATGTATGTGTGTGGGGGGGGGTAGGGGGGAAGCAGGGATATAAAACTGGCAAAATGTTAACAATTACAGAATCCAAATGGAGGGTATACATGTAGTCTGTATGAATATCAATTTTGTAATTTTTTGCAATTAAAGAAAAATTCCTCAAATAGTTAATGTAGTTATCATATGACCTAGCATATAACTACTAGATATATAATCAAGAAAAAGTGAAAATTTACATCTGTACACAAGAAAACTTGTAGACAAATGTTCATAGCCCTATTCATTATTCATGATGTCCAAAAAGTGGAAACCCCAAAGCCCATCAACTGATGGAGAGATAAACAAAAGTCATCTATCCATACAATGTATTATTTTATTTGGCAGTAAAAAAGGAATGGAGTTCTGATATATGCAATGACACAGATAAACTTTGAAAGAACCATGCTAAGTAAAAGAAACCAATCACAGAAAAAACACATATTTTATGATTCTATTTATATCAAATGTCAGAATAGGCAAATCAGTAGAAACAGAGAGTAGATTAGTGGCTGCCCAGGGCTGTGAATAGGAAGTTGAGGTGAAGTGATTATTAATGGGTATGGGGTTTCTTTGGTAGGGGCTGGGGAATAAGAATGTTCTAAAATTAGATTGTGGTGATAGTTACATAACTGTGAATATACTAAAAACCACTGACACCTGGGTGGCTCAGTCCATTAAGTGTCAGAATTCAGCTCAGGTCATGATCTCACGGTTTGTGAGTTCGAACCCTGCATCGGGCTCTGTGCTGACAGCTCAGAGCCTGGAGCCTGCTTCGTATTCTGTGTCCCCCTCTCTCTCTACCTCTCTCCCACTTGTACTCTATCTCTCGAAGATAAATAAACATTAAAAAAAAAATTTAAAAACCCACTGAACTGTACACTTTACTGTATGGCATATGGATTATATCTCAATTAAAGCTGTTTAAAAACAAGAATGACAAATCCAGACTACCTGGGTTTGGATCCTGTCTCTACCACTTTCTTTGTCATGTAAATTTGGGCAAGTTATTTAACCTCTAGGCTACCACTTCTTTTTTTTTTTTTTTAATTTTTTTTTTTAATTTTTTTTTTCAACGTTTATTTATTTTTGGGACAGAGAGAGACAGAGCATGAAAGGGGGAGGGGCAGAGAGAGAGGGAGACACAGAATCGGAAACAGGCTCCAGGCTCTGAGCCATCAGCCCAGAGCCCGACGCGGGGCTCGAACTCACAGACCGCGAGATCGTGACCTGGCTGAAGTCGGACGCTTAACCCACTGCACCACCCAGGCGCCCCTTAATTTTTTTTTTAATGTTTATTTATTTTTGAGACAGAGACAGCATGAACAGGCGAAGGTCAGGGAGAGGGAGACACAGAATCTGAAGCAGGCTCCAGGTTCTGAGCTGTCAGCACAGAGCCTGACGTGGGGCTCGAACTCACGGACTGTGAGATCATGACCTGAGCCAAAGTCGGATGCTTAACCAACTGAGCCACCCAGGCGCCCCTAGGCTACCACTTCTAAGCTGCAAATAGAGGAGTAATAACACCACTACTAGCTTTGTTTGGAGGAATAATCTATGAGATAATCTATGTGAAGTGCCCCTAGTAAATTCTCAATGTTAGCTATTATGATGATGATGGATTATCCAATAACTCTAGAGTTTGGTATTATTCCCATTTTTCAGATGAGGACTCTGAGGCCCACAAAAGTTAATACTTTGCCCAAGGTCATGAACATAACAGAAAATAGAAGAAGGCATTTTGATAATATATGACTGTAAAAGCCAGGCTCTTCCACCATGTCATTTTGCTTGCCAGAGTAGATGTATTTTTTGTGGTACAATATGCATTTATAGAAGGTGCTTTAAGAATTATGTAATTGCAGGGGTGCCTGGGTGGCTCAGTGGGCTATGCGTCTGACTCGATTTTGACTCAGGTTGATCTCACAGTCTTGAGATCAAACCTGCGTTGGGCTCTGAGCTGAGCATGGAGCCTGCTTGGGATTCTCTCTCTCCCTCTCTTTCTCTGCCCACACCCTGCTCACACTCTCTCTAAATCAATCAATCATGTAAAAAAAGAATTATGTATCTGCATGTGAGAAATTAATGTGCTAAATAAAACCACATGTCTAATTTTGACACAGCTTTTTATGCCAAAATGATATTATTTATTTAATGTTCCCCAAACTGCTCTAGCTTAATCATCTGACATGAAGTGGATCAATAAGATGACAATTTGTCACTGTTAGCAAAACAAACTGACTTTCCATCTATTCATGTGGTATACCTGAATGGCCCTAGGCTATTTTCACAGCCAGGTTAATGGAATTAAGCATGTATTATCTAAGTCCAGCACTGAACACTTCCCACCTTGGGTTAGGGGTATTTTTCTTCTCTTGTCAGCCCAGCTCCTTTAGGGCATTTAAGGATGCTAAACATAGAATGGATTTGCTAAATTGTTTTTGAATGAGTGAGCAAATGAAGGGAAGAATGAGCAAATACATGTAAGCCACACACTTCAACAGTCACTGGCTCTAATACTGGCAATATATTATCTTACAGATTGTGTACTTCATACTAAGGTCCAGATGGGGAGAATAAGATTTACAACTAAAGAGTTAAGGTACTCCTCATCCCAGAATTGGGCGAAAAGTCCTAATAACCCTTATTGATTAAGCTATAAATTCAGGTACCATGTATTTCCAAAAAGTACTGAAAGTTCCCATTTAATCACTTCCCTCTTTACCCCATTCTCCAAACCATACACATGTACCCAGCTGGGACTGTCCTGCTTCTTCCTTAAATTTGTAAAACAATGCCCGATGAAGGTTAACAATCTAGTGTAGAATGTACCAGAGCTGCATTTAAGTGGTACAATACAAGTGTGAAAAACCTTCCAGCTACTGTAGGTAACCAGTCTGGCTGAATATTTAAAAGAAGTCAAAATAAATAAATAAATACCTAAATAAGTAAATAAATAAGTCTAGCCTGCTACACCTAACTGGACCTGAGTTTACACCTTCCTGGATGGCAATTTCATACCTGGCACTCAGTGCTGTGTTTAGCACATACTATGCATTTAGTAAATGTCTGCTGCATGAGTGACTGAAATTGTCTGCTTTTCTTTGGCTCCCATTCATATTGCCCATGTTTTGTATTAGAGATCTCGTTTTTCCAGGCACAGATTTGAGTTCCACTGTGGGGACTAGAGGTGACACTTTAGATGAAAAAATAGGAGGAATATTTGAAAATCAGTCCAGTTAGAGAAAGAGGAAAGTGAAGAGATTCATAAAAGATTAGAGTTCTTTTACATAAAATATTATCTTAAGTTTTGACCTCTGTGCAGGTCAATTTAATTATCTTTATTCTGTGGCCATGGTATGGTCCCAAACCTGTCATCTTCTATTAATGTATGCCCTTTAAAGAGGGAAGGGAAGGCAAAGCAAAAAGGACGTTAAGTAAACGTCAGTGATGTCATTTTTCATAACAAGGTAAGGCTTTAACGCAAAGACTGTGAAGATTCTGAGCCTCCCTGATAACTCCCTGACTACAGGCAAAATAAATATCCAGAGATTAAATGAGGCAGGATATACTACTATAAAATGTGGAAGCCTAGGACAGCTTAGATCCTCCACAGTTCAAATGAAAGATCATTCATTTGTTCAACAACCTTTTATTTATTAAAAAACTTTTCTTAAATGTTTATTTTTGAGAGATGAGAGAGACAGAGGACAGAGTGCAAGCAGGGGAGGGGCAGAGAGAGAGACACACAGTATCCGAAGCAGGCTCCAGGCTCTGAGCTGTCAGCACAGAGCCCGACGCGGGGCTCAAACTCACAAACTGTGAGATCATGACCTGAGCCGAAGTCAGATTCTTAACCTACTGAGCCACTGAGGTGCCCAACAACCCTTTAATTTAAATGCTTCTATATACCAGGAACTATTTTAGAAGAATGTGAAGCATGGAGAATATCAGGAAATATTCAGAGGAGAAAGTTGGAAGAAATAATATTGGCAGAAACCTTCTACCAACCCTGTAACGCCCCACAGAATACTAACTAGTCTCTCTCTTCCTTGACAGATAAGTTTCTTGAAAGAAAAATCTATTCCTCTGTTAACATACAGAATTAAGAACAAACTTTTAGAACTTTTGTGGCAATTTGACATGGCCATGACATCCAAGCCTGTCATCAGTAAACTTGTCTTGTTGAAGAGTATAAATCAGTTTGTGTCATCCAACTCTCAGGGTATCTTGTACCTGGTGCAAGTGACATAGTCACACATAGCAAGACTGTAGTCAGTCCATACAGAGTGGAAATTACAGATACTGTGCTTCACCAGAGACATTTGAAAAGCACTGGTCTATATCACACTGTTTCCACTTCATCACTTCATTCGGTCTTCAAGCCATTTCAAACTGCCATCAGCCCTCCCCATGCTGCTAAAAATGCCACAGGAAATGTCACTGACCTTATGGCCAAGTGTGGTGGATTCTTTTTTGTCTTCATGATATGATAAATGACATCTCCAGCACTTTCCACCCTTTGCTTCTGTAACATTACAAAGTTGTGTTATCTCACCTTGCTGACAACACCTTCTGTCTTTCCAAACTTCTCTTTTGCCTACTCCTTGGCCTATTTCTCTTCTCATGTTACATTCACACAGATTATTGCAGGACAATCTTACTGATGTTCCATGGTTTCGACTATATACTGTTGACTTCTAAATCTCTGTTTCCAGGGTTATAAACTTGATGGTATACTAATGTGCTTAGAAGATTTAGAAAATCAATCAGTTTAAGTTTAAAAAGCAAGATAAACAGAGAACCAATTTTTCATTTATAATTTTTTTCAAAAATTAAATATTATTTACCCCCAGAAACCATTTTTATTCCAAATAAAATCTTATATGAATTCTAATATATGAAACAAAATAAAAAGTTTCTTTCAAATGGCTGTGAGCCCTATCCATTTAGTCTTTTACTTTCTGGGGCTCTCAGGTAATTGCTGAACCATGGGGTTTCTTTTCTTCTTCTTCTTCTTTTTTTTTTTTTTTAAAGTAGATTTCATACCCAACAGGGACTTGAATTCACAACCCTGAGATCAAGAGGTACATGCTCTACCAACTGAGCCAGCCATGCCCTTATCATAAGGTGTCTTAACCTGGGGTCTTTGGATGCCCAAGAAATCCATGGAAAGAATTCAGGGCCCACGAAAAATTACATCTTTATTTTAACCAACCACTACTTGAAATCTATTATACCTCCTTAAATTATGAATTTAGACCAAAAAAATTATGAATATAGACCATAAACCACTATACTATCAGTAGTACTTATGGGTTCATCACCAATAGAAATCACACATTCAAGTCATGTTATGTTATTACAGATCTCAAATAATCATTTACATTCATCACTACATATTATGGTAGTTATTATACTGCCACTAGACACTGTTACATAATGTGTTAATAAAGAAGCATATACATTAAGGCATCATTTTTTATTGATATATTTTATATATATTTTAAAAATACATATATATAAATTTTTTAACGTTTATTTTTGAGAGAGACATACAGAGCACGAGCGGGGGAAGGGCAGAGAGAGAGGGAGACACAGAACCCAAAGTAGGCTCCAGGCTCTGAGCTGTCAGCACAGAGCTTGATGCCGGGCTCAAACTCACGATCTTTGAGATCACGACCTGAGCCGAAGTCAGATGCGTAACCAACTGAGCCACCAGGCACCCCATATATATATAAATTTTATTTTTTATTTATTTTTACACATTTATTCAGTGTTTTGTTTTTTGTTTTTTTTTTAAATATTTTTTTCAACGTTTTTTTATTTATTTCTGGGACAGAGAGAGACAGAGCATGAACGGGGGAGGGGCAGAGAGAGAGGGAGACACAGAATCGGAAACAGGCTCCAGGCTCTGAGCCATCAGCCCAGAGCCTGACGCGGGGCTCGAACTCACGGACCGCGAGATCGTGACCTGGCTGAAGTCAGACGCTTAACCGACTGCGCCACCCAGGCGCCCCTCAGTGTTTTTTTTTTAATATGAAATTTATTCTCAAATTGGTTTCCATACAATATAAATTTTCAAACATTATTCTACGAAGGGATTCATAGAAAGGGATCGATGGTACAAGAAGAGGTTAAGAACCCCTATAGAAACTTAAGGTTCCATGGCAATTACCCACATGGAACACAGAGCTCACAAGTAAAGTCTCTACTTTGGCCTTAGTCCTTCTTTAAAAGGATTTAATGGAAGTGGTGACAAACAGGCCCTTTTGTTCTTAATTTTAAAGAGATATTCAGTGAAGAAAGAGCCTGTTGGAACCTCATTTCAAATAACAATCCTGTATTTGAAAGGAAAATGGCTTTTTAAAAAACATTTTTCTCCAAATGCTATTTAACACTCACTTCTACAAAACCTTTTTTCTTTAGATTCTTTTTTCCTGCATTCCCTCGATGCTTATTCAATTGCGTATCACTGAATACTTACTAGTTCACAAGCCTATTTTGTCTCGCCAACTGGATTATAAAAGTGCCCTTGAGAAGTTTATTTCTCAGGATGGCCAGAATAGTGTTCTACAAATAGACACTCAATACATGTTTCCTGATGAATATAAGGCCTTTCACAAAAGTGAACTTATTTACTATAAAAGCAGTATTAAAAATCAATATGGTTAAATAATGTTTATTATAAGGTGCTAAAAAAGAGGAATCTTTGACTCTAGAAAGTATTTTGTGAAAGGAGTTAAGGCATGTTTATAAATAGCTTTTACTTACGAGTAAGGATTAAAAATCTTCCTTAATGGAAAGTGATCTTGCAAATGATCTGAAAATTCCATTTTCTATCACCAGCAGAGTGGGACAGGCTTTCTCTAATGAGCAGATGATATGAATATTACTAAATTCTAAAATTTTTAACTCAGGAATTCAGCCATGGCTTATATGTGATCAAATAAGAGTTTTACAATGAAAGTTCAAGCATAGAATACAACCATGATTTCTAAAACTATAGGATATATTCCATTCTATAAAACCATGAAAATATAACCATGATTTCTAAAAACTATAGGATATATTCCATTTCAAAGATGTTATAGTAGTTTTAATTTTTTCTTATCTACTGAAACCATTGTTATATGAAAATTACTGCAAATCAGGCTTGTACATCTAAATTCAAGTAGCAGACCTATGACTTTTTAGCCAATGATTTATTTCAAAATGCTACTTTCATTAAAAAGGTGAATATTTTTTCTTTCCACATTTACAAATTTCCTATTAAGTCTCTTCTGAACCAATCTGATGTTTAAATGATTTGAAATGTCAACAGTACTAAAAAATATAGCTAACATTTTCCAAATAATGGTTAATGCCTTGTACCCTTCCATTTAATTCTGAAATCAATCAAGTCCTGTTAATTTTCCCACATGCCTCTTAAATACACCCATCCCAAGTGCACTTGCCAATGCCTTAATTCAGCCCTCCTAGCTGCCTCCAATTTCCTCACCTTCCCATACATTCTCAGCATGTTCATAAAATGATCAGACTTGTGTTTCAGAAAGATCATGACACTCCTCTGCTTAAAACCCTGCACTGGCTCCTCATCAGGCACAGGTTTCATGTTCATTAGCACAGTATCCCATGACCCTCAATGATCTGGCTCATACTTCCCTGTCCTGCACTTCTCTCATCACAGTGCCTCACACTAATCGGCGGTAATGAACTATTTGCAGGGCCTTTGCACAGTTTTTCTTTCTCCAGGGCCATCCTCTCATAGAGTCCTGGTTAACTCTATCATCCTTCATGACCCAGCTCAAACACTACTTCTTCTGTAAGGCCTTCTTGAAGCCCATCCAACTCCAAAGGTAATCATTCCCTCTTCAAATCTTCTATCACTGTACTTACCACATTGCATTGTAATTGTTTATATGCTTGTGTTCCCTGTATCACTGTAGACTTTTTGAGACATTAAAAGGTGCTTCATGTTTGTTGAACTGAACTAAATTTGATCTAATGATCTGAGTAATTGGGAAACAGAGATGGGATGTTTCCAGAATGATTCATAGTAACCGAGATGATCATGTTTCTCCACAGCAAACATAAATCTTATGTTTCTCTAATCACAGGGATTATCAGACCCTCTTGGAACAGCGCACAAAACACAAATCCTTAAATATAGATTGCTTCTGGCTTAGTGCAAAATATATACATTATGTTTTAATCTTAATTTTAGCAGAGTACAAAGTACCTTAAAGGATGGATTATTTATACTGTGCACTAGGAATTAGTACTTATTCAATTTGATCATATGCATACCAGGAGAAAAGTAGAGTCCTGATACATTGGAAACTATTTTGTAGAATAATTCCTTTGGGGAACACTAAAAGTTATGTAAGGGGTGCCTATTATGAAACCAAAGTAGGTGGCATAAGAGATACAGGGAAATTTTGTGGCTTCAAATATTTAGGTAGACAGAACCAAGTCACAGCAAGCATATAGGTAGGTGCAACGCATAATTTTCAAGATTCAAATCTGCTCCTCTGTGACTACAGCCAAAGTTCTTTTTCTGGGATAAAAAATACTAAGAAATTGCAGAAACAATAATTAAGGATAAAGTCTACCCTCTTACCAGCATGCACAAATGACTTAAAACTATTTTTTTAAGCCTATTTATTTTTGAGAGAGAGCAAGAGCACAGGTGGAGGAGGTGGGCACAGAGGAAGACACAGAATCTGAAGCAGGCTCTAGGCTGAGCTGTCACTACAGAGCACAACGAGGCTCAAACCCACAAACTGTGAGATCACAACCTGAGCCAAAGTCAGATGCTTAACCAACTGAGCCACCCAGGCGCCCTAACTTAAAAACTAGTTTTAACTACAGATATATCCATATTACTCATAAATTCAAATACACCAATAATTTTTAAAATCAGCTCATGATTTAACTTTCTTATTTGCTCTTAACTGTATTTTGTAGACTCCATACTACACACATTATTTTTGAAATAAAAATATAATCATTTTAAAAAGTTAACTCAGAAAAATATCAATCATGTTAGACTACCCAGTTTTTAGGGTTTTCCTATGAGAATGTCATTAGTTTCTGTTTTACCTAAGGTTCATTTTTTAGAATTCTATTCATTTATTTTACATATTTTCAAGAGAAAATTTGAATGAAATAAAATATCCCAGCTCAGAGAAGAAAACTTTATTGTTGCAGTGGCAATGGCACTTTAATCCCAAAACCTTTTTCTATAGCTAAGACACAAGATAATCTAATTCAGTCAATGTTTCTTAAACATTGGTATTCAGGGATAACTATAAGGCACTTTTCTTTAGCCAGTAGATAAAAACAAAGCCGAAATAAGGAGAGAAGTACTGCTAAATCAACTTCATAACAAATTTAATTCTAATGCAGCAATTATTCAAAGTGTACACATTACTCAATATGCAACAGTAATACAAATTGTAAATCAGCAACTTTACTTTTAAAAATTAGTGCATGCCTGGCTGGCACAGTTGGTAGACCATGCAACTCTTCATCTTGGGGTTGACTTTGAGCCCCATGTTGGGGACAGATTACTTGAAAAATTTTTTTAAATCTTGAAAAAAAATCAGTTAAGCCTAAAAAACCCAGATACATTCTAAAATGTAAATAGACTGCAAGTTAGGAAAATGGTTATCACCAGTTTTGTTAGTGCTTCATCCTCTTCCCCCTCATATAAGACTTTTGAAATGAAAACTATGTATCTATACAACTCTTCATAACACAATTATCAATAAGCAGTAATGAGTAAAAGGATTGCCACTCTTTCTCTCAATCTTTGATCCATAGCTTTTTTTTTTTTTTTTTTTTTAAGATTTTATTTAGGGGCACCTGGGTGGCTGGCTCAGTTGGTTAAGCATCCAATTTCAGCTAGATCATGATCTTACAGTTCATGAGTTCAGACCCTGCGTCAGGCTCTGTGCTGATAGTTTGGAGCCTGGAGCCTGCTTCAGATTCTGTGTCACCTTCTCTCTCTGCTCCTCCCCTGCCTGAGCTCTGTCTCTCTCAAAAATAAACATCAAAAATTTTTTAAAGAATTTTAAGTCATCTCTACACCCAACGTGGGGCTCGAACCCACAATCCCGAGATCAAGATTGCATACTCCACCAACTGAGCCAGGCAGGCATCCCTGATCCATAGCTATTTTATACACAAAAGGTTTACACATTAATCCTCACATAAAATTCTTTTACACTTATTTCATGAAGTCTACATCTCTTTCATTATCTTTTTTTAATTTTTTTTTTAGTGTTTATTTATTTTTGAGACAGAGAGAGACAGAGCATGAACGGGGGAGGGTCAGAGAGAGAGACACAGAATCCGAAGCAGACTCCAGGCTCTGACCTGTCAGCACAGAGCCTGACGCGGGGCTCGAACCCACAGACCGTGAGATCATGACCTGAGCCAAAGTCGGATGCTTAACCGACTGAGCCACCCAGGCGCCCCCATTATCTTTTTTTAAATGTTTATTTTTGGGGTGCCTGAGTGGCTCAGTTGGTTAAGTGTCTGACTTGGGCTCAGGTCATGATCTCGCAGTCTGGGTGTAAGCCCCATGTTGGGCTCTGTGCCGACAGCTTAGAGCCTGGAGCCTGCTTCAGATTCTCTGTCTTCCTCTTTCTGCCCCTCCCCCACTCATGCTCGCTCTCTCTCTCTCTCTCTCTCTCTCTCAAAAATAAACATTACAAAAATTTAAAAACAATGTTTATTTATTTTTGAGAGTTGGGGAGAGACGCAGAGGGAGACAGAGGATCCCAGCGGGCTCTGCACTAACAGCAGAGAGCCCCATGTGGGGCTCGATCCCACAAACTGTGAGATCATGACCTGAGCCGAAGTTGGACGCTTAACCAACTGAGCCACCCAAACGCCCCTACATCTCTTTCCTGTATTATTCTTTGTATAGTATAGCAAAATTTTATGATTTCTAGAACAAAGTACTCTACTGCCATTTTTACCTTTGATAAAACTATGCCTTTTTGGGAACTTTCTTTTTATCTGGTGATTTAGTTTGTTACTAATAAAAGAAAAAAGGTCCTGAGAGCTCACAGGAACACATAGGAACTATGGGCCAAATGCCCAGGAATTTTGTGATTCTCTCAGTAACTATCAACTTCCCAAAGGAAATATTTGAAATTCCACCATTAAGAATATATGAGGAAAAAAGTGCTGCAAGAAGACAGCATACCATTAACTTAAGTCCTTTTTCGTTGCTGTGAGAAAATTATACGTTTGAACAAAAATCTGCTGTGAATTTTCAGGTTATGTCTAAACTTTCATGTTATGCCAAATAAACTACTAAAACATTGTATATGCATAATTAATTAGCTGTCAGAGGTCAAGAGTAAATGAAAGCATATTATCTATGAAGTGCAATCAAAGGTACTTCCAAGTGAACACATCTAGGGTACATTTAAGAAAAATCTAATAAGCTAAAAAAAAAATCAACTGGCATTTTACATTTTTTAAAGATTATTTTGCTTCATCAAATGCATGTTTTCATATTCCATTGTTTCAATAATCTAAAAAAAATTGGGTCAAGAATAAGCCTTTCCTTGGCTCCAGGCTCTGAGCTGGCAGCAGAGAACCCAATGCGGGGTTCAAACCCACGAACTGTGAGATCATGACCTGAGCTGAAGTCGGATGTTCAACCGACTGAGCCACCTAGGCACCTCAAGAATAACCCTTTTCTCTGAATGGGAACAAATTTATTTGTGTGCCTTTAATGATACAAGTATTTTCAAAGAGAAATATGACTTAAAAATATGACATTTAAAATAAATAAATAAATGAATGAATGAATGAATGAATGACATTTTAGACACCTTACTGGGATACAGTGATGCCTTTTATCTACAGCTCAGCTATCTTATCTTACACACTTCACTCATTAAAACAAAAAAACAAAAAACAAAAACCCGGAAACTACATCAAAGCTCTTTAAATAGCCAGAAGGAATGTTAGAAGGTTCATGTGCTCAGGACTTTTGCTCTCAAGCCCACAATGAGTCTATTCACTTTCTTATACACAATTCTAAACACACTGGCTTTCCAAATCTACATGAGATGGAAACCAACACTATAAGTAAAGCAAACTGTTAATACCAAAATGCAGTATCTGAGAGTTTACAAGTATGACGGTCAAAAGGAAAGCTTAAAAAAAAAAAAAAAAAAAAAAAGGCAGCATAAAAAAAATTCAAAGTTGACCTTTCTGGGGTTAATTACTTAAGAGTAATCCTATACTGGAGCACCTGGTTGGCTCAGTCAGTTGACTGTCTGACTTCGGCTCAGGTCATGATCTCACAGCTCTGTGAGTTCGAGCCCCTCATCGGGCTGTGTTGACAGCTTGGAGCCTGGAGCCTGCTTCGGATTCTGTGTCTCCCTCTCTCTCTGCTCCTAACCCACTCACATTCTGTCTCTGTCTCTCTCAAAAATAAATAAACATTCAAAAAAAAAAAGTAATTATATACTTCAAAAGAAACTTAGCATACTAGTACCTCATAAAATTCAAATTAACCACCTCATCTTTAATAGTCTCTTCTACTTAAGTAGAAGATATCAGCCTATTTCTTGACAGTGTGACTACATCTGGTTTGCTAGGGACTGTCCCAACTTAAGCCTGTTGTCCTGGCATAATTATTAATAGCTCTCACTTTTACTCTCAAAAAATTGTCCTGGTTGGGCTACGAATTTTAAGATCATCCTATCGAATGCTTTGTATGTGCTAGTAACTACTCAGGGTGCTTTCATTTATCATCAAATCCTATGGCAGGGTACAATTATTACCTCCTCTTATACATGAACTAAGGCTCTGAGAGGTTGATTTTCCTAAGGTCACTCAATTAGTAAGTGTTAAAGGCCTATATGTGAATGACCCAGGCAGTCTGATACCAAAGTTCTAGTACTGAACCACTCTAATACATAGTACTAGCTCTCCTTAGAAAGATGGGTTGAGGAACAAAGGGAGGGAGATATCCAAGTTTTTGGAACAAGATTAGAGGTATGAACTTTCTGGAAAATGTGTCCATACAGTCCTTATGGTTTCCACAATCCCATACATTTACAATACTGAAACATCTAAGAAAATCTTTGAAGTGTGAAATTATTTATTTTATGAGCATAGGTTTCCTTAGGAAACAAAAATTCCAAGACTTATTTTTCAAATATTGAGACGTTACTTTGAAAACATACTGAATAACTATGTCCTGCTCAAAAGAATCAGATAATCCTTTTTTTTTCCCTGAAAATTTGTGGAGTGCCTGGTTGGCTCAGTTAGTAGATCATGCGACTCTTGATCTCCAGGTTAGAGGTTCAAGCCCCATGTTGGGATTCAAGCCTATGGGTTCAAGCTCCAGGTAGAAATTACTTAAAAAAATAAAATCTTAAAAAAAAATAGAAAGAAAATTAGTCACTCACTATATGTTACATAAATGCAGACTGAAAAGTATACTGGACTGGAATCAGATTTGCTGTCCCTTAACCTCTCCAGACTTCAGTTTCTTCATGTGTAGCAAGGAACTATGGTTAGCTGGTTAAGAGGACCTAAGGTGATTAGATAAATTTCAAGTGCTGTGGGAAATACAAAGGACTACATAAATTTACGATATTAATAATAGTCACAGGTTTTCAACAACATGGCTTATGAATTTATGACAAGTATTCCAAACCAGTATTTCTAACTTTACTTCCTCTCTTATTTTCTACTTCACAATTATTTGGGGGAAAAAATTAGTAACTGATTGGTTACATGTGAAAAAGAAAACTACACTAAAAAGATTAATAGCAGTCAACAAACATCAATTCAGAGGCTACACTTTACCACTGAAAAACAGATGCTACATATCAGCTAATTAATCCTTAAACTATGAGATTAAGTGGAATAGTTACAAAATGAAGAGGTTCAAAGACTTACAATAAATCTTATTTTTAACATGGTTATCTACTTAACCAAATTACTATGTTTAAATAGCATTTTCCAAAAACATTTCCATATTTGATCCTCTACAATGAGGTATGATAGATTACCGTCATTCTCATGTTATGATTAAGAAACTGAGGCTCAGAAAGATTAATTTGCCCAACTGTATTATGATAGGAAATTGAAGTAGAGGGATGACTCCCCAACTGTTAAAGGAAAAAAGCAATTTGGATATTCTAGAGCAAAAGAAAAGCCTCAGATCTCTTTATTGCCTGAGATGAGACAGAGCATTTACAAATTCAAACTGTCTGAAAAGCAATATTCGTTGGAGCTTGCTTACACATCTCTGATTGTTTTAATATTCACCAAAAAATGAATATTCATGTTTGTCTGATCTCAAACTATTATTAAATTTGCAAGCAAAAATAGGACCTATGAAGAGCAGAACCAGATTATTTTCTCAGAGTGGAAAACCTAATGAAGGGTGTTCTCAACCCTTCTATGATTGACCATTGCTGAGATTATTCCTTAATAAGGAAGCACTTAATTTTCTCCCAAAACTCACTTGCTAGATTCCATAAATTAGCTGCTATAAAGGATCTATATCAAAAAAACTCAAACATAGTAAGAGGCTTTTCCTTCAATCTACTAAAAGCCACATTTTAGATAATGATTGAAAACAACAGCTGCTGACAGCCAGTTTGGGACAAATGCCAACTGTTCCCATTTGTCCGAAAATGTTAAAATTGCTATAACGCTAAGTTTTCAAAGAATACTGGTATCTGTAAATGAGAAAGTATATCAACTAAAACCCTAAAAAAAGACTAAAGATAAAGGTGCCTCTTTGATCTGCAACATCAGTTTTTAAAATTTTAGTGTTCTGAAGTATAAGTAAACACATCTCAACAGCTTTATATATTTTCATACATTTTATTTTTTTAAACACTTATAATTTTGCAAGCTAGCAGTAAAATATTGCCCTCAATATTTTACTAATTAGCACCGTATACCTTTTAAAGCTAACTGGAACATTGTTTCATTGTAAATGATTGTAAAATAAAATCATTTCAAATGCCAAATTAGTCTCAAGTAACATGTGAACCATTAATTTTATCATTATTTTTGGCTCTATGCACAAAGATGTATTTCAAAGATGAACTCAGTTCTGTCAGTCTAACAAATCAAAGTACCACAGTTTAAAGCAATAATCTCTGAAATTATTACTATATGAGGCATATAAGAAAGTTGGTAAGTCAGCTATAAAAACAAACAATACTACGTAACTTATTTAAAGTCCCTTATTTTTCTAGAAGAATGAGGAAAATAATGAAAATTCTAAGAATCAGTTACATATACGGTTCAGTATATGTCAGTATTCTCATACTTTCCTTATGAGTTCAGCCTTACCAAAAAACCATCAAAATGTCCAGGATAACTCAAAGGGACAGCTGGAAGCCTGAAATAAGATAGCTCAGTGCAAAAGATCCCAAGCCATTCATATAATTTTATGGAAGCCTAAACATTTAAGTCCTACTTTTGTTTTCACCTTTAAAAATCTTCTGATAATATGGGAAAATACCTAATTGTACTCGAGTTACTAACACATGTTAAAAAAAAAAGGAAGAATTTTTGTTTCCTGTTTTCTGATAAGAGCATTCTTCAGAGCTATGGGGTTAAGTTCTAAGCCACGATTGACTGCTTACTAGCATGCCTGTTTTGCATACCAGTAGAATCAAGTCCAGTTTTGCCATTTGTGGATAACTATGACAAGATACAAAAGCATGTGTTTGCCATAAATAGCTCTGGCTAACAGCAAACTGCTCACACTGAGCAGATCAAATTCTCTATAAGGAGAGCAGTCTGGACCACAGCCAAATCTCACTACTAATACTTAAGATTGCTACATCATTTTTTTTCCCCAATTTGCAAGATGTATTAAGAAATAATAGCTGAAATGAAAGGTCCTAAACACAAGAAGTATTATTAACTTTTGAAGGACATTTTATAAATTACTTTCATCATGACCAAATACGCAGTTAAGAGCTTCCTGCTTCTACTACTCAGTTACTTAGAAATGTAAACGTGAATTAAAAAATAACTACCCTAATTTATCCAGAAAACAAATCTGGTATTGAAGAATATTTATGTCAAAGTGCAAAAAATAACTTCTGATCTTCATATTAACATATAAGGAAATAAATAAACTAATGTTTATAAAAGTATCCCTCTGTAACAATATTTTCTATTTGTTGGCTTTAGAATAGAATATTTTTTAAACTCAACAAACTGGAAAACATCATGCATGAATGTTGTACAAAAAAATTCTTAAATGACCAGTGCAAAGATTAGTAATAGCTGTTTACTCTAAAAGTTGCTTCACATAACATTTTGCAAAACGTCCAAGGAAAACAAGGCAACGTTCTGTAATATGCCACAATTTTTATTGCGACGTGGCCATTTTTGTGAGGGTAGGGAGTTTGATCTCAAAAACAATGTTCCATTTAAGGCTCTTTTATACAGAAATTGCCATCATGACTGATATTCAAAATATTTTTAGTGTTGCAAAACTTACATGGTAAACATAAACTCCTACACTTATTCAGTAGTGTACACTCAATGGAAAACAAAAAGGCATTAACAGCTGTTTCTTTTAAGATATGCAGGTAACAGGAATGAATACTGAGGTACTAGGATAAGTTGATGACACCGTTAACAAAACCTAATTGGCATTCCTTTTGGGGGAGGGAGGGTGAGTTAAACTCATTACAAAAAAAGTGCTTTCAATGCATAGTGTTATATCTGTGCTGCCATGTCACAAAAATAGGCTTGCCAAGGCAGGTGAGGTGTATGAATGCTCGAGCCTCACAAAACTGCAATCAAGTGCAACTATAAATAATACTGAATAAAGTTTACCATCTGACCAGTGGATAATACTTTCAAGGCATTCAATCAGCTTACCCTTTGCAGTATTCTAAGCTATTCACATTGACAATCACTTTCATTGTAGTGCTTGCTGCAAGGGAGGCATATAACCAGTTGTTTTGGCTAAAATATGACGGGAAGGCATTCCTTGGGTTCTACATAAAAGTAACAGTATTAAACAGTCTAATGGCAATCACTGATAGGCTGCTTACATGAATGGTGTTTCCTTCATTCACTGTATTGGAAGGACCCAGTGGGAAGAGAAAAAAAACAAAAACAAAAACAAAAAACACCTAACACTATTTCAATTGATTGAGCTGGAGAAATGGAAGCTCCTTAAGATCCAGATGGCACTTGACTGGCATTTTATAAGGGTTTTCCTTCAAGTGAAACTACTACGTTGCCTCCCAATTTCTCTCCAAGTGTTGAACGGTCCTTTATATCATCCAAGCCATTTACTTGCCATTCATGTTTAATACCTAAAAAGGAAAAACATGATAGCATTAAATCTTATAATTAAGAAAGAGTAATTCCTTTGTACAAAATTTTTAACGTTTGTACCTGTAAATTTCTTTTTAATGGCATCTTTAGAGCTAGCATAAATCATCTTGCTTTTTAAAGGTGCACTCTCAGGAGCCCTACAGAAAAAAAAATCGTTGAATCCCACTTAAAAGAATAACAAAGGCAAAACTGACTATGTTAATAACAATCCTTGCATTTTAAAAGTACTTTTTCTTTTGTTTTTACACACCAGAATATAAATACTAGGTCTTCTTTCTTAGACTCTTTTGTTTCGTATGTGGCATCGTACAAAGCATATCGGCAATCATTCAGAGGTAGCAACTTCACAAAAGATGTGTAGGGGTCCTCTACAGTATCACCAATGTCACCCACCAAGATCTGCTTTGCTTCCTCTACAATTATTTGTCTTTTGTCATCGCTTAAACAGAAGAGAACGGCTTTCTTTCTTTTTTTGATCTCCTCTTGTGTAGAAGATTTTCTTACTTTCATATCATTAAAAACTTTGATAACTTCATCATTCACTGTAACTCCAGAAGCCTGAAATAAAAAAAGAACAGTAATTCAGAAGTATTCTGGTTTTAACCAAAATTACTGTTTGCCTAGAGAGGATTCACTTTAATCTGGACACCAAAAATTGCATCCTACAGTACAAGCAGTCCAGTCAGATCTGCCACATTTTAAGTAGCAGTGTATGAGATACACCCAAAGGATTCTAACTCATCCTGTCCCATTCATCCTTTTTAAAGGGGTTTGGAGGTTGAAGTAAACGGAAGGTAGAGGGAAAGGGACAAATACAAGCTGTTCCATCCCTGAAATGTTTCCTATTTCATTGGGTGATGTCAGAGCTTCAGGAGCAGCAGCAAAAATACCTTCTGTATTGTGTCAACTCTGCAGGCCTTAAAAAAACACTTTTGGATTTCAGTTAAAGCTTCTACTATTTTTTTTTTTTTCTTTAAAGTCATCCTAGCCAGTGCCGTTTCCTCATAAGGAAAGAGAATCAAGTGTGAACTCCAATCCGCCCACGGCTACAACATAATTGCCTCACAGCTCAAACGCCGACACTTAAAAACTAACGGAGCTAGTGTAAAAGCTTTTTACGGCGAGAAAGCATTTTTAAAAGCGTTTTCTCACCTCCTGAACTCCTCTTAGGGGTTTTATTACAGGGCACCGAGACCCTTAACCGAAAGTCTTCAGCAAGGGCTTTGAGGCACGTACCAAATTTAGAGACGAGCGCTGAGTAAAATAAGGAAGCCCCGCGCAAACACGGCGTGCGCGGGATGAGCCCCGCGCCGCCGGCCGCCGCTCCCCGTATCCCGACCTCTCCAGAGGCGCCTGTCCGACTTAGGCCCCGACCCCCCGACCCAAGCGCGCGCCCACCTCGCCCTCAGGAATCCGAAAAGCGGCAGGGCCTGGCCTGACGACGGGCGGGTAGGCCGGCCGGCTGGCTGGAGAGAAAGCAGCGGGGCCGGACGCAGCGCAGGAGCCCCCACCTTTAAGGCCTAAAGCAGGTTAAAATGGCGGCCTCACTCCCAGGGTCCTGCAAGGCCGTGCGAGGGTTTTTGCTCGACGCGTCCCCGCTCCCAGCCCCCCGGGCCGGCGCGCCCACCTTACCATAGTGTCCGCGGCTGTGGCTGCGGCGGCGGCTCCGGCTCCGGCTCTGTGGCACTGGTAGGAGGAGAGGGAGGGGCGGGCGGGCAGCGGCGAGTGCGGGGCACGCCGGGAGCTGCAGCCCGAGAGGCGGAGGCGGCGGCGGTGGCTGGGGGGCTGCAGGCGGCGGGC